ACATACATACATACACACCTATATAAAAAGCTTACGGGCCAGGCCGCAAAGCAGAGACGCTATACAAACGAAAACTGACTTTTTATTCAGCGAATAGCAGATTTCAACCGAAAAGGCCGGCTCTTTCTCACTAAACTTGAGTCATTGAGAGCCGAACCCAAACTTTCAAACCCTGAGAAAAAGATTCCGGGTTTGGGTTTTAGGTGACTTTAGCCTTGTCTGGGTCAAGGATTTAGGGTTGAAGGGGTTTGCACGGATAGGCCTGAACCCCTAAGCCCTCAACAGCGCTAGGTAAAAAGGGTGGCATGCTACGCATGACCTAGCACTTCCCCTTGCACTTGCGGTATCGCCACAGAGGGACAGGCATGGAGCACATCAGTTTCCTGGTATATGCTTTGGGTCTGGGACTACGGAAGGCTGCAGCGCGCTATGGCTGAAACATATTTAGCGGTTGCGGATCTGTGCAGGTTTCCGTGCTGCATGGCATAACACCGGAATAGTTACACCTTGTGCAGCCTTACATGAAACTTATCAAAGGTCCTACTAGAAAGTATGTGCCGTCCCGGCACCAGTATGATGTTCGGGCAAAGTCGGGTAGAGTTCTAGCAGACGATCGTAAGTCACGACTTAGATACCTTAGCTCGGACAGAGTGCGCATCCCAAGGCTCATCACAAGTACCCGTTTCAGGACCTTCGTGCTAATCGAAGCCTGTGCAGCTGCTGAAGCGGGACAGTTAGAAAGATATGCTCGCGAACATGAATGTTTGGTTCGGCAAGGCTGCACGCCAGAGCTTCGATGTCTAGAAGGCATGGGAGCTTCAGAAAATGAGGGATCCCTACTACCGCACACAAACAGGAATACACATAATACTAGCAATACTGATAATGATGAAAAATCTAGCAATACTAATAGTAAGAACAAAACCGAATAGCATTGATATCGATAATGACACCCATAAGTGACACCTATAAGAAAAAGACTACGATTACGAACGCCAAAACAATAACAATGAACCTGCTATGTGTGTATATATATATATACATACAGCTACAAAGATAAAGAAACAAAAACAAATACATAAGCAGTTTGTGTCTGCAAATAAATAAATAAATATATATATATATGTATGTATGTATGTATGTATGTAGAAGCCACACGAAATCGCTTTATGGGAGGGTTTTGCGAGGAAAATACAAGAGACAAGAAGAAGGCAAGGGAACAAAACGCAAGCACCAACACCAAAAGAACAGAAAGCCGCACCTTCAAGGGGGCTTCAAGGAAGCCTCAACTCAAGGATTGCAAACTCA